GGCAGTACACTTTCAAATCAATTGTTAAATTGTCTGGTAAAAGCACCAAAAAAAAAAAATTTCCTTAAAATCCCACCAAAAAGAGCAGCTCTCTTTAAGAACATGTGGAACCCATATATCAAGCTTTGAAACAAAACCAATTTGTTTCAAGTAATCATAAACAGTTCAATTTGACAAATTTAATCTCTTAGTGATTTCACGTGTTGTTATTTGGCAGTTTGGTTCAATCAGTACCTTTTTCATTGGCTTCAACTGGCCAACCAGAACGTGGTGCATCTTCAATATTGAAATTGCCAGAATGAAATTTTGTAAACCAGTTTTGGCACTGTCGTTCTGTCAATACATCTCCATACACGTCACACAATCTTTTTCTCGCTTGAACAGCATTCTTACCTTTTTGGTAATAAAAGAGCAAAATATGCCGAAAATGCTGCTTTCGATCTTCTATATTTGATGGGACACAAAAAATAAACAAAATTTTTTACAAATAAGCCTTAAAATGCTAACTGTCAAAATATATAATGATAATATGGTTTAGAATGAAAATGGCAGGAAAAATATGACCAATCCATCTAGTGGTAAAAAAACGAACTTACTTTCTGAACAACCCAATAGTTATTCAATAGTCAGATTATTACACTTTACCAAGAATAATGTGTAATAATATAAAATAAAATAATTTTATTTTATTAATTTTATTTCTGTTATAAATAATAATTTTAATTTCTGTTTAAATCAAGTAAAAAATATATGTAGATCAATTAACTATTCTACGATTTTACAAAATAGTTTTAAAATTATATCTTGCTCCATTTTTGCTTTGTACTCTTATTAAAAAATGTTGCACCTACTGAGAAATGATTAAAATCTTATGAATTTGACAAATTATGTTTGCACACTTATATCAGCTATCAAGTAATGAAATGTTTCTCTCTCCTGCATTAAAAAATCAATTTAATACTATATCTATAAAAAAATATAAACTAATGAGCTATGTTCTTAACTGAAATCATGTTTACTAATGGAAAAGAAAATGATTGTCATTTTAATAATTTTATCACATATCTAATTTTAAAGCATAATAAGGGACTTAACATCAATTTGACACTTAAATGATCAAATTAATCAAAAATTATCCAAGAAACTAATTCAGATATTTCAAATCACATTAAATTGAAATATTTCATGATTCCACACAAATAAGAAAGAGTATCAAATTTTGAAAAATTATAAAATAAATGTTTGAATATATGTTTTTTTTATTTATTTTAGTTATAGAAATTCATTAAAATTATCATTAAATTAATGTAAATTAAAATAATTATGATTCAAAAGTCATTTTGTGAGTATTTTCTTCAACAAATTACTAATTTTAATTTATATAAGAATTAATGCATGCAAACTATTCATTCACTTTGCAATTCAAATTAACACAATCTTAAACTATTTTATACTCATTTCATTTTAACTGTTATACTCATTTCATTTTAACTGTTATACTCATTTTGTCCAATAAACCATCACCAATGGAATTTATGCAATTACAATATTATTGTTATTTGTTTTATCTTTTCAAGGATTCTGACATTAAACTGATCCAAAATTAATTGATCTGCAGAGAAAATAACTTAAATATCTTAATTCCTTCTGACAATAGTATCGTGTCCTATATATGCATAACTATGATGTTACAATTAAATGTTTATTGTTTATTAGTTAGTTTAAATAGCCACATAAGCTTCAAAAATATTTATATAAAAATCCTCATACATGATGCAAATTATTTTTTATACACTTAAAAATTCATTAAAAGATTTTAAAAAAAGATTAAAAATGTCTTTATATTTTATCCCATCTTCATACTTGAGGAATATAATGCAGTCTTATGACAACATTAAGTTTTATTTGGAGGCTTAGGATAAGAGCCTTCAAATAAAGGTCAATTATATGGTAAGACTTACATTCCTGAGATCTGTAGACATATAGGATAAAATGTATAAACATTTTAATTATCTTCAACAATTTTTTTTTTTTTTTGTAAATTTTTAAGCACATATTTATTGTCCTAGCAATTTTATTAACAAATTACTTTTGTGTCTATCAGTATCGGAAAAGTTACTCCCTAAGAAAATCACTATTATTTTGAATTCTAATGTAATCTAACCCACGTAAAAAAATGTTTCAACTTATAGAATTACTTAGTAGTTTCAAAGAAAATCACACCAATAAAGAATATATTAATATCTCTGATAATATACTTCATGCTATCATGCAAATATTCAAAGGAAATCAATCATGTCCTTACCTGGCAGTTTTCCATTTGCTATATATTAAAATGAGAGAGAAGGGAATATGTGTATTACTATTTTCTTTATTTGGTTTTATTTCATAGTGGGAACAATAAAATAATAATATGTTGCTCTTACCTACTAAGTGATCTTGATATGGAATGGCTAGATTCACTTCTACTAAATGAAGGACTTCGATATCCCCTTAAAAAAACATTACTCTGATTGAAATTTAATTTCACTTAATATATTAATCTTTTTTGTAGCAGATGTATAAAAGTTAGTGTTGATGAACAAAGAATCAGTTCATGAAATCAAATCATTTACTGATTAAGTACTTTTATGTTTAAATTATTTATTAAGGCAATTTATAATAAAAAAAAATCTAATAAGAATTAAATATGATTAAAAATTTTCTCATTTAAGGTTGTATGAAGTGTTTAATGATGTTTGTAATGTATTCTGATACTGAAAGTTAAGTACATTTTAAAATGATTATATATAAATTCGTTTTTGAAATTTGTAGATAGGACTACGAACAACAAGGGAAGAAAATATATCAAAGAAAATAAGTTGACTAAAATTTTATATTATTAAAACACAGATAACTGACATGAGATTGATTACTTTTGAATTTTTTGAAATATTCAACTAATAATTACACTTTTTTAAAAGAAGTCTCAGTCTTTTAATAAATCATTAAATTTTATGTCTTTCAGCAGTTATACACTTATTCTAACTATGATAAGAATTTAATAATGTTTTTTATATAAACAAATTTTTTTTTCATTTAAGAGTTAAAAAGTAATTTCTCAAATTTCTTTTTGAAAGTATTTTTCACTGATACTTCAAAATAATTTGAAATTTAATTTATATAAAATGTAAATAAAACAAAACTTTTAGTAGTATAAAATTTTTATTTTATTAGTACTCCAATAAAGCAATAATTTAGAATAATATTCTAAGATTTAAAAAAATTATCAAAATATTATAAATATTCAAAGCACATTTGATATTATAATATTGAATACAATTAAATTGATAAAGATAATTTTATTTAAAAATCCCATGTTTAATGATTTAAATATTTTTGAAACTATAAATTATATATATATTTTTTTGTTTTGATGATCATCAGTTTGTATTGACAGTTTCAAATATTACATCATCATCATCATCATCAATATTAAAATTAGAATATTCAAGTGTGTTTTACTACAAATAAAAAAGTTCTTATGTTTTAACCCATTAATATTAATGATACATTTATGAAGAAATAGTTTATAATTTCAAAAATGTTTAAGTTGTTAAAGATGTTTTATGACTTTATTCAGAAAATACAGTTTAATTTATTAAGAAAGTGCTAACAAGTTTCAAATTTATTATACTACAATAAAAGACACTGAAAATTATAAAATTTTTTTTACAACGTAAATGAACGATGCAAAGATTATATATAATTGCACATTTATTGTGCCTAGCCACTTTTTTTTCTATAATTATGCATTTAGTAAGGAAGTTAAGTTAAAATTACTTGGTAGATGTATGTAAATTAAATACATACTTTCAATAAAATTTTCATAAATAATAACGCATGTGATTTATTCTAGAATTATTAGTTGTATATATTTTCATTTTGAATAATATTTCATTTACTATAAAAAAACTCTCAAACTAGTGATACAAAAAAGTATAAAAATATTTTTAATTCACTATTCTTGGTTATATAATGTAAGATTACAAAGATAATTTTTAATAAAATTTTATTATTTTTTAAATTGTGTACAAATTATATACACTTAATTTGAAAGTATTGCTATAATTTAAAACACTTAATAATAATTAGCATAATAATTTGAAAGTATAAAAATAAATAATTTATTTTTGTACTATGAAATAATTTTTCAAATACTCAGTTTCAAATATTATTAATTACATATTTTATAAAATACTAAAAAGAATCAAAAAGTTATGCTGATCTTTCTTATATTAATATTATTAATCAGAAATAATTTAGACTGAAAAATCAATTCAAGTTTACAAGTACTTTATCAATAAATCAAACTGATCTAATGAACTGTTTCTTATGTCCCTCAATCAAATTAAGAGGTAATGAATAGGTATGTATCAAATTTCCTATAAAATTCTTTTTAAATTTTACTATCTGTGTGTTTGAAAAATCTGAATTTATGATTTGCAATGGAAGAAATAAACAACATTTTTATTCAGTACTAGTATTTTTATTATTTTTTTTTTTACAGAAATAGCTTTTACTTTTTAAATTAAAATGCTACCCTCAAAAGTAATTAAAAAAATTATTTCTATAAAAACTAAACATGTTAAAAATTTTAATAAAAGATTTATAAATTAAGAAATTATTACCTTACTGCTTCAGGTTTTTTTGCAACACTTGGTTTCTTAGTGACTGGTGGAATAATATATTTTCTAGGTTCAGCTGCAGGCAATTCCCTTGGCCTAGATTTCAATGGAATACTAATAAAGAATAAAATAATAACTTTCCTACCCCTTTTTTATGCTTGAAATAAAATATGAAATTCTTACACTGGTGAAGGAGCAGGAGGACGTTTTCTATCATTGGCTCTTGGCTTACGAGGAGAACGTGAAAACGATCGTCTCCTTGGGGATGGTGAACTTGAATATGAATGACTAATAAGAAAAATTATCATCATATAATGAAATAATATTTAGTTTTTTCATGATACAAACATACCTCCTAGATGAATAATAAGATCTTCTAGAAGAGGAACTACGAGAATAACTATATGATGATCTTGATGATCTAAAATAGACACAAAAATTTAGTTTTTAAGCTATTAAAATAAATTCAAATAAAGGACAAAATATTTTCCTAATTAATTTAAAATATCTGAATAAAAGAAACCAATGTATGATGTATTAGATCATACACATTCATTATTCAACATCTCAATTAATACAGAATTTTAAAAAATTTGTTCCAAAAACATTTGAAGTCCAATAAAAATACTGTCATAACTAACTGTAGGCCTTAAAATTTATTATTTTTAACAAATAGAAAAAAATAACTTTTATTATAAATCCATTAAATAAATCCTAAAATAAAAACAAATTTATTGGAGAAATATTTGTTTTTATTTTCAAAAGATCAAATTAATTATATCAAATAAATTAATTTTATTAAGCTTTGAAATATTTCTGGAGTATTTTTAGCAATATAACAGGTATTTAACAATGAAATAATTTAAAAAACAACAAAAACAAAATATAATTAAACAAATATTAAATTAACAATGAATTTAAAAAATTCTACATATCTAATTGTGAAAAATTGTTTTACAATTAAAAATTTCAAAAATACTAACTGCCACAACAAATTTTATTTCATAGTTATTGTTAAAGAAATCCTAATGTAAAATACATATAATTTCTTTAAAATCAATTTTAATAATCCTGTCATTTTTTTCTCACCCTTTTCCATACAAAGTCAGTAGAAAAAATTAAGTACCAGTGTTTCATGTTGATATATCTGCTGAACTTTTGTTTGTGAAATACTTATCAGAAGCTAACTATAATGAGCAAAGATTTTTGAAAGTGTGTTAAAGTTTAATTCTGTTCCATTAATAAGATGTTAATTTACTTACAGAATTAAAATATTATTAAAATTCCATTTTACTATTATCAATGCCTTGATTGATTTATTCAAAAATGCTACATACAATTTCAGCCAACTTTGTCTCTAATTTCTAATAATCAGCTGACAGATTAAAATGTGTTAGAATCATTGAGGAAACATTATGCATATCAATATAAATTTCTTTCTAAAAAATTAATGTAATAGCATAAGTCAGTCAGTCAAATAAATAAGAGAGACTATTACCAATAAGTTATTTATTAAAAACAAACAAATAATAAATGATTTATTTGTTTGTTTTTAATAAATAACTTATTGGTAATAGTCTCTCTTATTTATTTGACTGACTGACTTATGCTATTACATTAATTTTTTAGAAAGAAATTTATATTGATATGCATAATGTTTCCTCAATGATTCTAACACATTTTAATCTGTCAGCTGATTATTAGAAATTAGAGACAAAGTTGGCTGAAATTGTATGTAGCATTTTTGAATAAATCAATTAAGGCATTGATAATAGTAAAATGGAATTTTAATAATATTTTAATTCTGTAAGTAAATTAACATCTTATTAATGGAACAGAATTAAACTTTAACAGTTACATTATTTATAATAAA